CCACAATGGGAGGTCGGCTAGGATTGCGGTATAAAGTTGGACAACGTCAAGTAAATATCATTAGAGCTGGGGAAATTATGGTTGCGCGAGAGTAGCTTAACTAGAAGTACCATGTGTAAAGCAGGTGTTTGTAAGGTAAGGGAGAATGAATGATTTTGGATAGGAATAGCTAGATGTCGGATCGCTTCTTATTTGCAAAGTGATAGACACTCTATATAGGTTTTGTAAACCAATAGTTCTATCTTACACATGTGGAAGGAAGGCATGTATTGCAATGCGGAGACTGCGGAAAATACTAGTAGATTCCTTGTTATTATGTGCAAAGCGGTCGACCGGCTGTTGATGCAGTGTTATTTTACCTTCCTTGAGAACTGTATCACAGTATTTAAATGGTAATTTTTATTAACCCTAGGCCTCCAGTATTGACAACGCTGTTTCGCGTACCACAAATCAAACTACACTATCTTGTATTTTGTAGGTTGCCACTTTTGTGGGAAGGATCGATTTCTGGTCAACGGCATTTGTGACTAGATTATTGAATCCTTTTACAATGCGCGTCTAGAGATTGTTAAATGACCCTATTTTAATATTTATAGGGCCATTTTACCTTCCTGCATTATCGGCTAATTATATTGTTGTGTTCTTGAAAACAGCACAGTATATCCGTAAAACAAGCAGTTGTATGGAAGCTGTGAACACGTGGGATCAGTTGCAAGAATTAAGCCATTTCTCCAAGTCCAAGTTGGCAAACAATAGCAAGCTCATGCGTTCATTCAATGTCTGTTGCTTACGCATGTTCACTCATAACGTATCAATGGTGATGAGACTTCTAGTTACCGGTGTATCCTGTTATTTGGTAAGACGACACTGCCCCCTCCTTTCTTTGGAACTATGCAATTAATTTATGTCAACCTTTAGACAATTGCATGCACAAGGCAGTTAAGTAGTTAAACATTGAGCAGGTACCACTTTGTGTTACTCATCAAGACGTACCGGTTGACAGAGCAATGTATCCAGTTTGATAAAGTTTTGCGGTGTTCGCGCTTTCTACCACAGAGGCAATCATTCGTAGAGAAGTAACCTGATATAGTGCTGCACGCAAACAAGCAAGAAGTTGCGTTCTTTCTGTCGTTAGTATGTTCCTAGCATATACCGTTTCCGCAGGGATTGGAGATCGGAATTTATTCGCCTCTTTCCAGGATTTGGGTAGTTTCACACGAACTACGGTCTTTGAAGTACGCATTTTCAGTTCACCTGTATTTTGGTTAACAAGCATCTCGTCTTGAATATTCAGCCGGGTCATTATTTTCTGCGAATCCACAGTGCATTTAAACGGGTTCGAATAATTCCTCCCAACATCGGTATTGAGGTAGTTTTGCCGTTGCTGTATAGGATGTGGTTCCGTATGTAGCCAAAGCTGATATCGGGATATCCTCCAAAGTTTTCTCAAAGAGCTGAAGGATTTGTTTATACTTTCTTAACGCACTAGTTAGCCGTTCAGATAGTCCATTAGCACCCCTGTTATAAGGCACCTTTCCGGCGTGCATGATGCGATTCTTCTAAATATATAAATAAATAAATTGTATATGGCTCGACGATGCGAGAAGCCGTTCCCAGAAGGGACGGATCAAATAATGGTACAGAAGTTTCATATCATGGTATAATAAATTTTTAAAAAATGTGAGCACAAAATGAAAATTTGTGTAGCGCGAAGCGGTCCAAAATATTTACATTCCTCTTGTTCTATCGTCTGACAAGTTTTTAGCAATCACATGAGAGTTGATCGCACACGAAAAAAGGGAGAATAAAGTGCTGCGGGCCAACAAAATATAACCACTTGTGCACTTGACCACATGCATTTTCAGGCACCATTAACTCCCTTCTCAAAAGCGTTATCTAAGGACTGTGCTGTTGGAAACATTATTATCACGTTTTGAACGGTTAAATGATCTTTTATCGAAAGCTTAAACAAACGCAATGTGCAACAAGTTCTGATAGCTCTTGGAAGTTTGTTCTAAAGCTTTGAGCAGTGTATTAAGAAGAAACGCTCCCTAATTCGCGTATTGAACTTTGGAATCATGACCGTTGTCTCCTTATTTCGTACCTCGTATCTAGTGTTAACGGACATATGGACACAGTTAGCATAATTGTGCATGTGATGGTGAATTATTCTGTACAGGAAACATAAGTTCATCTTCATTATCCGTAGCCAAAGTGAGTCAAGTCCAAGTTTTTCACTGCGCTCTCTGTAGGTCATCTTGGAAGAATATCCGCACAGCTTCTTTGTAAAGCGTCGCTGTACCCTCTCAAGAGCATGCTGGTCAGATTTCCGCAGATTCGACTGTAGTAGTGAGCAGTATTCCATGCCAGGTAACACATATGTTTTGTAAAGCCAGATACGAGATTCTGTGAGTTGAAATTTATGACAGATATAGCCAATAGTCTTTATGGCTTTCGAAACTTGGAAGTCACAATGTTCCGAAAAGTTGAAGGTAGTGGAATACCGCACACCCAAGTCGCGAATCACTTTGCACTGTGATATAAACGTGCCTTGTAATAATAGACTGCCTGGTGGAACTTCGCATTTGTACGACAGAATATTACCCTTATCCACGAAAAAGGACATCTGCCACAGTTTGCTCCAGGATTCAAGTGCCGATAGATCTTCCTGAATGTGGCACAAGGCTGCGCGGGTATCTGCACGTTCTTGTGAGTAGACGATTTTAATGTCATCAGCAAACAGAAAAGTAGTACCATGTCTTATTCTATGAAATACATCGTTGACGAAGAGGAGAAAAAGAAGTGGACCAAGTACACTTCCCTGAATTACTCCACTGGTGACTGCTTTCGGTTTAGAGACACTGTCCCCAATACGCACCACCTGATGTCTGTCAGCTAGGTATGACGACAACCAAGAAAACATTGGTTCTCCAATACCTAGTTCCTTTCTGCTTGAGGAGTAGGCTTCGATGCGGCACTCTGTCGAATGCTTTTGCATGTCTAAGAACAGGACAATAACACTGTTGCCTTTGTCTATGGCAGCCGTTGTGTGGTTTAAGTAGTCTGTCTGGCATGTCGCACAAGATCTGCCCTGCAAAAAACAGTGTTGTGAATTGTTGATGACGTTTTCCTTATTCAAGAAAATAAGTAATTCATCTTTCACTATCCTTTCCATAATTCTAGATATTACAGGTGTGTGATTGATGGGGCGATAGTTTTTAATTACGTGAACGTTTCCATTCTTATGCCGCGGGATAACAACGGAAGTCTTCCAGTGATTAGGATATACTGCATTGTTAAAAGAGAGCGTAAAAATGTTGAGCAATAGAAGAGGCAAGTCGCTCTCACCGCTTTTTAACAAACAAGGGGGAATTCCATCAGGTCCTGGGTAAGTCGAGGAAGACAAGCGGGAGACTTGACCAGAGATTTTTTCAATAGTGAATTCCACTGTGCATAAACTTTCAGCAATGTGTGGTGTGACAAGCGCTGGTGTGGCTAGCGGTTCATCAACCATTGATTCGGCGAAATAGGCACTGAAAGCCTCACAAATTTCACCCGGAGCATCAAGGTATGTGCCATCCGGCCTAATGATAAAATTGATGGAATTACTGCGACGCAAACCTCTGACACGAAACAGTTTGGACAGTTCCGTTGTTTTACTCGGGCCATTCAAAGCTTTGTATTCTTCTAATATGAGATTTCGAACATTTAGATGCCCGAGGTCCTCGATGATCTTTGCCTGCTGCAGTATTAGCGCAAAGTCTGCTGTTAATCTGAATTTCCGGCGGATCTTATGAAGCTTGCGTGTGATGCCTAACACTTTGCGATCGGGTTTTTGTTTTCTTAGGCGGGCACACTTTAGAGGCACTAATGAATCAATGCAAAGACCGATGATATCATAGAACACGTCTGCTGCTTTTTGAGGGCATGGAGAGAAGGAGAAATCATCCCAGTTCATCGAACGAACCATATCCTTAAACGCGTTCCAGTTGACGCTCTGCTTCGACTCAGAGACCGATTAACAGTAATAATCTGTTCCCGTAGCCAATACTTCACTGACAAATGCCGCAGTCCTTTTATAATGACACCCGTTGGTTTTCGGACTAGATGTCGTCGTAAACATTTATTGATTGCAAGTTGCCAGTAGTTGTTATAGCACTCCCTTATTTTTATGACTTACTCGAAATGGACCAAACGCTCTTCACCGATGGTTGTACACACTCATTGCAGCCAACCGATTTGGCTCGGTACGGTCTAAGAGCCAGTCGCCATAAGTTTGTAAACGCATGGTGAGATTGAGAAAAATGCATATTATCGCTCGACTGCATTAGGACCCAGCAAATTGGCCGATAGCGAAATCTCGTTTACTGACACAGCTAAAGGCAAAATAAGCCTTCGACGCATTTGTAGTTTAGTATGGCAACTCAGCACACACACACTGTAGAGGAAGATGGAGGTTGGCATGGCATTTGATTCGCCACGTAATGTCCTGAGAACAAATCAGTTGAGATGAATGAGATTTGGGACGGCTGACACAGCTGTTTTCGGAGGACAGCTCAGTTAGTTCGCTACGGTTTGAGGAGGCATGTCAACAAAGAGAGCTTAGGTGGTGTCTGCGCATTTTGGGTTGATACATAATTGGTATTTCACTGAGAAGACACCCACTTTGACCCACATAATGGGATTTATTGCACGCAGATGGTAGTACTGGTGAGCTCAGGAAAACTACATAACTTTCGCGGAGCTATGAGGGTTTCGCAAACATTTTCGCAATCTGTTTATCTATAGCCAATCGGAACGTATGCTAACACCGCGTTTAAAGATTAGCACATTTCAAAGCAAGTATCCCGAATGTTTGTTTCAACTCAAAGTATCTAATTTTTCAGGCCTTGTAATTCATGAAGAAATGAACGACAAACAACTATTGTACCAAATGAGAACGTATTTATTTGATTGTTACGGGGAAAAACCTAACAATAATCAACGCTGTGCGTGAAGCATCAGGTTCTGGGCCACAAGCGGTTAGTAGATGCTCTACGTGGTCCGTCTTCTGAGCAACGTAAAAAGCATGCTAAGTAGTAATCCTTTGTTGCCTCGTCAGGAAACATCAATCCAAAGGTTGCGTGCAGTACATATGTAAGTGATCGAAGACATTCAGAAGTACATCTCTCCGGCAGATTAGCGATACTGTTAGACTGACTGTACGTTGTAGCACTTGAAAGTATCTGTTCAACGGAAGACAAGCAGGAATAAATTTGCAAAGAGGTGAAGAGAAAACAGTATGGTTTGATATCCAGTCCCATTGGATTTGCACCTAACAACTTCAACATGATGATTGATACAGTAAATAATTGCCAACCACTAGTGTGATTGCATCAATCGCTAAATAATCAGTTGCCAGAGCAAGACGTACTTAACTCACCGACAGATTAGTACCATTTTGATTCACTTAGGGCACCATCACAGCAGGGTTCATAGATGTATTCGCATTTGTATACAGTAAATGCCTAGTTGCTGGTTCAGAAATGTAAGTAAACGTGATATTTGCAGTTGTGCAAACTATCAGTTACATGCGACGCATTCTGGAGGGATGCCACCGACAAATTCCATTTACACGGGTGAATAAATTGCTAAAATAAGGTAACTAACCATCAGGATCAGACGACATTTTTGGTACATGTTTAGATGGTTTCTGTACTTGGTCAGTTTGCGACTGCCCATTACGCTCGGCCATATATACTCATGCGTGTGCGGATGCTACTTAGCAGTTATGACACGAGCCCCATCCACTCTAACTTGATTGAACAGATTTTTAGATGGTCGTTCACAACTGTGTGATGAGACAAGTCACCTGAACGAATGCAGTACCGCGCAACATCGGTACACACATTTTAACCAATCCATTGATGCAAAAATGGCTAACTGACGACTGAACAATATGCTCCTCTAAGTTTGCTGCAGCTACACATTGTATGTATTTTCGACGACCATGACAAGTACAACTGGATTGACATGCAAATTTGTTGTTCGCAATGGACTAAACCGTAAGATAGATGCTTTAGCTGTTATCCACCCGTTATTCCCAGACTCAGCGTGTAGTCATGCAGGCCGTAGTTGACAGAGCAAGAATACATACTTTTGTCAAGCAGCTCCGCAAAATACGTACATACACTCGGCAAAATATAGTATTTATTCCCCGCAAATGAGAATTTGGTATTTTGGATGGTTCCTGTAGCATGCAGTCCTTAGCACACGTCATTTGCCTTCGCCAGTGTTAGCAATAAACCGCTGACATTCATTGATTAATAGTATCTTAACAACAGAATGCTTCAGTTTCTGATTTTTCCCTAGCCAATTGTTCCTATTTTGTTCAGTGGTTGGATAGTAACTTGGCAACCTTGAAATATTTTCCAATGGTTTACATTTTGAGTCTATACTAGTTGGTTAAAATTGTTTCCGTATAACTGTGTCATTAATGCTTCATTATCTTTGGTGGTAAATAAATATTTTTCTAGCAGCGCTTACGTTCCTGTGATTGCTATTTATGTGTTATAAGTCCCTCTGAGTAGCAAAAAGACAGAAGTGACAATCATTGGGAACATTCGCTCGCACAACTGAGGTTACAATCAATTGTCTGAAAAAACCGGTCCAGTTCCTCACGTTTTACCATACAGTTGTTCGAATCCAATCGATTCTTACGTGCCATGTGGTTGGTTGAAAGTTCCAAGCTAATGTACAAACAGGCTCGCTGTAAACCTATCGATTTTCACGTGCTGTTTGTCTGCATGACGTGCGTACTTTCTCTTACACTTCCTCGGTTAAAAATAAAAGTTTACACGTGATCTGTTGCTTTGGATGACACCGAGTCGTTGAATTGGGGTGTGTGTCTGTGGAATGTCTTCGTCCAAGTTCCACTTCTGTGCTCACATCAACGAATTGCTCTGGTTGTGGTTCCATTGGCATAAACAAAGACGTATCTCAAAGAATACGTAAGGGAATCTCTTTAGTCATTTTGCTGAACTTCTTCGGGTATATAACGATGTTTGATGTGATTTACATGACGTGTAGTCAATCGGTTTTGACATTCCACTTCATACAGCATATTTCCTTTCCTTACTTTGACAATTCCGGGATTCCAAGTTTTTTGTGGGTCCCTAAATTTTCATACACAGATCTGGTCACCAGGATGAAAATATCTTATGCGAGTATTGTGTTAACGGTTGAACTGTGGTGCCATTTTCTGGTCAGGCTCCTTTGCTGGAAACATCTCCTTAGTCTCCTTTGCTGGAAATATCGCATCTCACGGTATAATTAAACTTCGGCCAATAACAAGTTCCGACGATGATTGTTGATTTGGGAGAACAGGATTTGATGTCGAACGATACAAACGAAGAATACATCCAAGTTTGCAGCAAAATTTCCCTCTCCTTTAAGTGTAAACAATGCATGTTTAAATGTATCAACAAACCTCCGCATGTCCAGTGAACTGGAGCAGACAAATGGGACTGTGTTTATGTTGTACATCCATGGATTAAGCAAATCGGATGCACTCGTTAGATATGAATTATGGACCATTATCAGTGACGAGTACTTCTAGGGAACCAAACTGTACGAAATAACGACGAAGGACTGTAATCGTCAAAGCCGTCGTTTGTTGGGTGACACAAACTTCTTCTGGCCATTTTGTGTATGAAAAAACAATAGCAAGAAAATATTGCTTGTTCTGTGGGTCTGCATAATCCACCTGAATCAGCAAGCTGGGAGGGCAGTTGATTGTGGACAAGGAGGAAGGTCAAATTTGATGGGAGCTTTCGCAGCCTGTGCACATTTAGAACAATCAAGAAACACCGCCTTCAATATTCTTACCAATATTTGGCCGATAAGCATAACATCTGGCAAGTGATTGGATTAGTTTAATTCCGTGGTGTCCGGAATGCAGTATTTGGATCACTTTATTCTGGTATGTTTAGGGGTCACAATACGATCTGCCTGTATTAAGTAGCCGTTCACTATGGTTTGAGCATCTTTACGTGCAAAATTTGGTTTAATTTTAGCGTCTGCTAGAATTCCTGGCCAATCGCTGCGAAGCTAAAAGATAACTCGTTGTAAACGAAACTGATTATGTAGACTCACAAATGTCATTGTACCTATGAACTCCTCAACGATGGATTTTATGCCAACATCAACAACTGATGACAGTATCATCATGCGGTTGCGAATTGGATCTGTTAGCAATCAGGCACGATAACGCGTCAACATATCCAAAGCATTCCCAACGAATGTGTTTAATGCTAAAATCGTATCCGAGAGGTATTGTTGCCCAACCATGCAAGCGATATGCGGTGTGAACAGGAATTCCTTTCTTTGTACCAAATATAGGCAGCAGCGACATGTGATTAGTGCAGAACGTGAATTTCCGACCATACAACCTCATATGAAATTGTTTGATTGCAAACACAAAATTGCTAAACCTTATTTTTTCATTTGGCTGTAATTACGTTCAGTTGCTGTTAGCATGCATGCAACATGACTGACCAGTTCTGCCGGCCATCCGGAAACAGTGCTGCTTCAATCCCGTACTCGGCAGCAACTATGATGGGTAGTTTCGGGTCATAGTGTGTAAGGACATGATCCAAAGTTAAAATGCGTTCTACTTCATCAAATGCCGATTGACAAGCTTAGGACCGTATCCATTTCGTATTACTTTTCAGGAGTTCATTTAGTGGCCTCTGCAGGGACAAAGTTATGGGAATAGTTCACTAGTCCCAGAAACTACTGGAGTATTTTCCTGTCCTTTGGAACTGGTAGTACTTGGACTGCCATATTTTTTGATGGATCAGGGCGACAACAACTGACATCGATGATTGAACCAAGGTACCAAATTCAGAGCCTGAAGAACGCACATTTGTTGATTCGCAGAGTAAATCTAAAACTCCTGATCTAGTCTACCACTTCATTCAGGTGTGCCTGATGTAGCTAAACTGAAGCGCGTACGATTATTATGTCATGCATGTAAGCCATAACAAAAGGCAACCCGTTTAGCATTGTGTCCATTAGCTGTTGGAAAATTGCCGGAGTACACCTAACTACCAACGGCAGTCGATTTAATTGATATTGACCCTTATGAGTATTAATGGTGAGAAAGTGTGTGGATTCCTCATCAACTTCGACTTATGTATAGGCATCAACAAGATCAGTTTTTAAAGATAGTTTGCCCCCATTTAACTGCATAAACAAATCATCGGGAATTGGGAAGGGGTATTGGTGATTATGTAGGTCGTCATTTAGCCCAGTTGAAAAATCCCACAAATACGTATTGTACTACTGGCCTCCTTAACTACCACAATAAGAGTAGCCCAGGTTGAATAACGTACCCAGGTTTGCACGGCCAGTTTCTCCGACTGATTCAATTCTGATTCAACCAATGGGACGGCTGAGTGGGTTACTGGCCTGTTAGGATGGAATACTGGCTCTGATTCGGCTGCGGCATGCCAAGTATCTTGAACTTTGGTGTCCGATCTAGGTTTTGATTTGCAAACACTGGCATACTTTTCCCACAAGATTGCCAAAATGTCTTTTTTTCGCTTTTGTAGCAATAATTGTGACATTACTTTAAGACACCCTTCGTATTCGCTGAGTTCGAGTCACAAATTGAACTGCTTGGAACATCCCAGAAGTTTAACTCATCTATCCATTCATTGCCTGATAAATTTAGTTCGCTTTTTGCTGCAATGTGACATGTTCCTATGCATTTATTCGTTCGAAATGTGAACTCAGTTTAGTTCTCCCAGAAAAGATATGGGCTTGTCAGAAGCGTACCGAGCAATAGGTTTTGTAACACAATGCTCCGGTTCTCCAATGCTCCTTCAAGTCGAAAATAAATTGGTTGTTATGTCTGAATTAGTGTCAGTGCAAGGTGAGTGGTTAATTGTTAATTAATAAGGTGATAAACTTTCGGCCACGACTTCCACGTGGACTATAGGTTGTGAACACCAGATTTGACAGCCTCAATCGAGCTGACTGCTGCTGCTTGAACGAATTGGCAGAGTTTCCTTCTTCTCTTATGACCTAATGTGCCACAATCTTGACATTTATGCAATCGAAATCCGCAAAAGCATGCAAACTACCAGTCACTAAAATTCCGACATGGTGTTGGTGGTGGTTGAAACCAAGTTCCTTGCTTTGGAAATCTGCTCTGTTCCAAGTTTGCTTTGTTACTTGTATTAAACAAAGTCATATCGGAATAACAGTTGTTTGCCTGTAACATTTATGCAGCACGTTTTAGATTCATCATTCTGAGATATTCCCTGGTTAAATGGGCAAGGAAATGTCACAGCTAGAGTCCAGTTTTGATAATAATTTTGTTCCGATATCCGAAGCGTCAGGCGATGTTAAGCCAGATATAAAATTCAATGTTCTGCATTGATGGTCTGACATTCTTTTATATTGCAACCATTCACATTCCAAGTTCACTATCCCTGCATATATCACACTCACCTCCTCTTCTGTTCTACTAGGCTTTGAACAATTAGAACAAACATTAAATATAGATGACCGCTCTTCAAAAATGGGGTAAACTTATCTACGCTCTGTTGTAAACTGTAATTGCTTGGGTGTTTTGGCAAAAGATAAGTGTACTATCTCATCTGTTTAGAACATCCAAGTTTTTGCATCAACAT